TTTTTTTTTTTTTTTTTTTTTTTTTTTTTTTTTTTTTTGCACAAAATGTGAATCTCAGGAGAGTGGAGAATTCTAAACAACCACCAGTTCGAGCCTAAGCAAATCAAGGAGATAGATCAGCTGCAGAAAAGGCTCAGAAATGAACAGTTAATTTTTTTTTACCTGTAAGTAAATGGTTTTTATTTTTATTTTTATGCTCTCCATCAAGGATAGATCCTGCATTGAGACTTTTGTCCCCTAAAGCACTGACATGGCAACTGTTCTTAGTGGGTTTTGGGGGGTAAAGAGATTTTGGATAACTTTCCCAGAAAAATTTTCAGTTGTTAGTAGTCATCATTTATTCGATCTAAGGTGCAAAGTTTTTGTTTTTCTCGGAATTTGAAGTTATTATATTTTGTTTCTTGTCGTTCACATGTATATGTGTAACTTGAATTTTCCATTAATATCTTTGTTGTTTTTTTCCCATGCTTTTAGGCGACACATTCTTAAAAAGTGGAAAATGATTGATTCTTGTAATTGGTGATTTAAATAGTAAAAAGTGGCCTATAAACCTGCTCCAACTTTAATTGCTTATCCTTTATCTCGGAATTCCGCGTAAATCTTAATTAACTAATTTGTGAAATAAAGCGATGGAATATTTTTCAAATGGTTCCATAAGAATATAATAAAGGATTAAGGAATTGCTTTTGATAGCTTCTCTTTTTTCTTTTTCTTTTTCTTTTTTTTTTAATATTAAAATTGGTTCAAGGAATGGTGTGTACCATTTTAAAAATATTTTTTTAATCTAATTTCAAATTTTAGTAGAACTTGAAAAAGTGGTTCTAAAAAATAGGATGAAAACAAAAGGGGGACCATTTGTACAGCTTTGTCTAGTAGTTCTATCTCAAATCAGGAAAAATAATTGAAAACCAAACTGTTAATAAAAAAAATTGCTTTTATTAAAAGTAAAATAAATTATTTAGTAACTTTTGAATTTAAAATAGAAATTTTTAGGTTAGTTAGAAGAAAAAAAAACATTAGATTCTTAGGAAAATCCATCTCAAAAGCTACAATGAAGTAGATTTTACAAATCAATTAATAATTTAATTGATTTTCGGAAGTACTGAAAATATTTAAATTTTGAGGGATGCAAAAAAAAAAAAACAATCTCAAATGGGGATTTTTATGATGTTTAGAAAAAAAATAAATAAAATTAATGGGAGAGATAACACGTGGAGAAGGATGAGGAAAGATTGGACTTTTGATAATTGTACTCAAAAGGTCTGGGAGAGTGTAAAATTCAGACAGATTCGTGAACAATGACGTGCTCTACGATGCATGCAAAAAAAAGAAAAAGAAAAAAAAGAAAAGAAGAAGAAGGGAGCGGCCCCCAAGAAAGGCTGTGGGCGCTCTCCTCCGACCGGACTCTGTCACTGTTACCTCAACACGACAGCTTCATCTTCATCTTCTTGGTTCTTTCTCATCTATTTGTTTCTTTAGAAAATACTCTTAATTTTTCATAAACAATTTTTTTTTTTTTTTTAACTTCAAAATTTACCAGTATCGAATAAAATTAAGAGAAATTATGTGACACCCGAATAAATAAAAGATACATGATGAACCGAAACTAAATTCGATTGAGATCCTGATAATATAATGATTAAAGTAAATGAAAGTTACTACTTATATTAAGAAGATGTATCTTCTTTTTCAGTACTTCAATCATAGAAACTTTATGATTAAACGTATTTTATTTTGAGTAATTCTATATTGAGTGACCTCCCCTATAAGTTTTTCTATAATGTATCTGAGTAACAACATAGCATATTGGAAGCTTGTATTGGTTGGTAGGGTTAGTTTTCACTCTTAAGAGGTGAGGAGTAAATAACGTGATCATGTTTTAGGGGAATGTCAAACCTATCAAGTGTTGTATCATAATTCTGAATCTTAGACATGAGACGTTACAATTTAATTTGTTGAAAGTGGAATGATCACATAATTTAAGCAATAAATCTTTTGTTTCATTTAATTTATTTTTTTGGTTTGAATGGGTCAAAGTAATTATGGGAATAAAAAGATGGAAATCTTTTGAATGATTAAAAAACAAAGAGAGAAAGAACAAGAAGAAGAATTATAAATAATAATAATAATAAAAAAGAGCTGGGGACCCAGCGGCATGAAATAAAGGAGGATTGAATGGGATCCCCTAAGCAACCCATATGCCTAAGACGAAGAAAATTTTATTTTCCTTTTTTCTTTTTCTTTTTCTTTTTTTATAATATTTTTTTATTAAATTATTTAAATTATCCTCAATCTTGAATTTTGAAACTTGTTCTAAGAAATACCTAATATTATTTTTCATAAAATAAATAAGAAATTTTGAGATTGAACTGTCACATTTTTTTTATTACAATTATAATTCACTCAAGTTGTTTTTGGGAAATAAAAAATAAAAAAAAGGTAACCTTTTATAAATCTTTATACGTTTGTTTATTTATTAATTAATTATTTTTCAAAAATGGTATGTATCCTGAAATTGTATTGTAAAGAAACCCACTTTTTAAAATTTTAAAAAATAAATAAAATTTTGAATTATTGAATTGAAAAGAAAGCCTCTCCTCTTCTCGCTCTCTCTCCATTGAATAAAGAGATTTTAAATAGAAAATTCAAAACAATAATAATAATAATAATAATAATAGGTTCAATCTCCCGCAGTTTTCTTTGAATTAAATCTATTTATTATTTCTTTAAATTTTGTTTCTTTCATATGTGTTTATTTTAGTTTGACAAATTTAACCATAATAATATTAATAATTAATAATTAATATATGAATTTATATACAATTACATGTATTTCAGATAAGTTGTCAACCAAGAAATTTCAATATTCAAAAGCGTGTCATGGATAGACAATTAGATGTGTCTGGTGTTGACTTTGACCAGCTTGCAAAAAATTAAATAAATAATAAATAATAAATAAATTGTGGGAGCAGGCAGGGTTGAAAATAACCATTAATCCTGCTAAAAATCAATAATAAGAATCATTCAAAACAAATTCAGAATCTGAAAGTGAAGAACACACATTTTTCACCTTCTACATATACATACTTCTACGTTTATACAAGAATAACCTGAATATAATTGCACAGTTCGAGATTTGTCGATATCGAAACAAGTAGACAGTGGCACCAGGTGAGACGAAAGAAGAACACGCCATTTTTTATCTTTCAATGCCTCATGATATACACACCCTAACAAGTTTTAACCTACATATAATAATACATCTATGAGTATACCACATAGAAATGAAATAGTGATATCATTATCGACAAAATAACGAATCGACGCTACGACAGAAAAATGCTCTTATTCTCAGCTCATCCCAATGACATTTTGAGTCTTTGATGGTCATTTATCACATAGCAAGAATCAATAATGAAGCTTATAAAGAAAGGATAATAGATAAATTACTTAAGAATCCAAGAACCTACACAAGTCAGCTACAAACGTGGAACTCACCAGAAGATGAAGAAATCCCAAGTCCTCCTCTATATAATGTTGGCATCGACGTACGGTTTCTGGAACTACGCGGGTTCGTTATCTCCCTTGCCGAGTAAAAGTGGGAACGCATCGTCTGGTTCAGAGAAACTGTAGTCCTTAGCCATTGAT